GAGAGAGAGAGAGAGAGAGAGATGCAGAGCGTGTGCATAGCAGGGGAAAGCGAGGAACAGTATTGAGAAACGCTGCTTTAGAACATTGATTTTGAAACTTGTGAATCTATTAGAATGGTTAGAAGACAGAATCGTGATTCATATGTGAATAGATTTTTCCGAGCACCTCTAGTTTTCTCTTCCTCTTCTCTAAAGCAGCACAGCATGGCCTCGCCCCCTTTGCTGCCTTTTCCCGAGGGCGGGGTTTATCTGGGTTTGTGATGTCACGAACCCGGGAAGTAACTTGTTGTAGTCCCTACCAGCCGTTTTTGTAGGCATTAAACTGCCAGAATTTTAAAAGAAGATATCTCCGTTTGCATTGAACTTTCAGCTTTGTAACTTTGCAGATATTGTTTATGCTCAAACAGCAACATTACACACTAACTAACATTCAAAAAGTGAAATCGCAATGAACCACCCCTTTAATAGCAAAAGTAAACTTGCTGAATGTGGATCTTCACCATGGTTGCATTTTAAGCCATGCATTTTAACCATACCTGCTGCTCAGTATGTCAGACAGGTATGTGGTCAGTCAGTCACAAAAATTACACAATTTAGATGCCTGAACATGGTGATGTCTGTCATATTAATCTAATCAAATTTTACTGAAACGGTGTGAAACCAAATAGGCTACAAGTCTGAACCTACATATGGAAAAAGCAAGACAGAACGGTGGTGTCTTGCAGCTTGCTTACAATTGCTTCAACTCAGTCTTTTTCTCATGTCCAAGCAATGCTTTTGAACTTCAGAGCATCCACTGATAAGAGAGCTCTCATTTTCACTGAAGACATGCCACATGTGAAGACACAGATGTTTGCTGACCTTGCTGAAGGCCTTTGATTTTTCACACTTAATGAATTAGTACATCAAAAAACATTGTCATCATTTAATTATGTTTTCAGTGAATAATGACTTCAATTTCAATCCAATCTGTCACATGGTTTCAAAAGACCTGAAAAATAGTGAACAATTCAACATTTTATGATGCTTTAGTTTAGGTTTCTTTTGTTTGTTTTGGAAGTTAAAAGGTGCCATTAATTGCAAGTGCATGGAAAAGCAACCAGTATAATAATTCTTCAAATTTTTGTGTTCCACAGCAGCAGAAAAAAAGGTTTGAAGCAACAGGAGGGAGAGTAAACGCATTGGGTGAACTATTCCTTTAAAGCAGAGCTTATAAACGGTTTGGGGAAGACTCTTGACACAGAAGACATAACATCATGTTGCTGTAGACTGATCCAACCTGAAATTCAAAAGCTGTCACACTATTCAAAGCTAGTATGAGGAACTCAACAGAAGGAATGACAAAATAAGAAGCGAAAGCCCCGCGTCGGAGTCCCTGAATAGCTGAGTAATGGGGTAAAATTTCATACACACATAAGATATTATGCAATATCAAAACTGTGGGTTGCATATGGGCTAAGCTATTGTTGTGCATTCAAGAACATCAATCTATTCCACCACACAGAATTATAATGACATTCGACGCACAAGGTTTGTATTAGCGCTCGTTCAAGCTAGCAGGCTAAAAGGTCTCATTCATGTGAGGCTTAGCTAAGGGTTTACACGATGGCTGTGTCTCAATACCTAATGAGCTAGACCGAAAATGCGCAAAACCACGCGACTAAAAATGATTCAGCTCTGATGACTCGGTACTATAACGGCCAAAAATGCTGTCGAGCTCTTCGGTTCATTCGGTTTTCAGACACAGACGATGCTTTACGCCTTTCGCAATGTTAAAAAGACTAATTTCTTACCGTATATCATAGCCAGTCCTGTTTCGTGCAGAAAGCGCACTCTTCTGTGTTTGAAGAGCCATATTGTGAGGATAGTGAGTGTCAAAAGCAAAATGAATGTAAGTAAATTCACGCTGTCCTGCCTGTGACTTTCCTCTGCCTCTTTCTCCGTGGCAAGTTCCTCAATGCCGCCGTCATCTGCTCTTATCCGACAACATTGGCTTAAAATGAACATTATAATAGAAAACAGCGAGCTGTGGCCTCCTAATGCATATAATGTCCATGGCTTTGGTGCTGTGGCCGCCTCCATGGTGCAGGATGCTGGTGGCGCGTTTCCTCACACTGCCTCTGCTGCGTCAGATTCAGATAGTCTCAGGCAATAATGAGAGGTATCAGGGCAGACCGCAGCTCAAGCTCTTAAAGAGACACGCACACCAATATTTATCTCTTACTCTATTACTAGTACATTCAGTGAATATGATACAAAACAGGCCTTGAACCTCTTGAATGAAGTGGGGTTTTTTTAACATTTCAACAAACGAGCAGTGAAGGAGGTGCTTAACCTAAAGAAAATGTTGATTTTATACCTCAGGATGTCAAAATGTATGTGCTGTTTTATTTTATATGAGCTTTAAACATTTTGCAACCCTAAATAGAGTTTAAAACCCTGAAAATAATGATGCAGTTGTTTAGCAGTAAACATTAAGCAAATAATGTAACACTGGGATGCCACTGAGTATATGTGCTATAGTCTGGTTTGTAGTTATTGTAGTTATAGTTTTTTGGGTTGAGGTTTGTGGACAGGCAATTTTAAGAGGTGATACAGATATCTGATGTCTTTACATTTCCATGGGGATAAAAACATTTGAAGCAAAGTAGTTTTTTTTCTAAATCACTGAAAATTGAGTTGTTTTGAAGAATGTGAAACCCTGCAGTTTTACTGACCTCGAAAGGTCTAGCTGTCAGATTGATGGAAACAAACAGGAATTTAAGATTTCCTTTTTGCTCTTCTGCATACTATCACACTTCCTTTGCTAAATGAAAAATGGAAAGCCATCATTTTCTGGTTCTGAGAACTACACTATCTTTGTAGTAGAGTAAAGACAAAACAATCACACGTTTTAGATTCAAATATCATTTACACTTATTCAGCTGGTAAGTGTAGGTCAGTTTAGAAAAAGTTTCCTGAATTTTGTCACAATGCTTTAGACCGCAGTTTTTGACAATCATTTCTGAAAGCTTTCGTTCTGTGCTTCCTGAAAAAAGTATTAAAGTCTGTATGTTATTATTTATAATCAAATGATAGTTATTCATTTATTTATCATTAGAATTCGTCATCAGGTGACACGTTTAATCACACAGATGAGTTCATGCAGTTTACCAAAGAACATTTTATGTATGTAACTTGTTTTACCAACACAACAGTTGAACAGCCAAGTGCAATACTGTTGTGTTTTCAGTGTGTCACATGTATATTTATTACAAATGTACATATAAGTGATGAGTCACATACAGCCACCACGCTAAGACTTTTTATTTTAATATTTTAAGTGAGATTGAAATTTTGCTCTGTCAAAATTTCACAAAAAATCCTTAAGAGAAAACTTTCATAAGTTGATTGGTTTACATAAAAGCTTATAACTGACATCTTTGAGTTTTCATGGCACACAAATGTTACACACAAGTAACAGTAACAAGTATTTTTTTTAACAAGAACATTTTCTAATGCTCAAAAATTGAAAATCACAACAGGGCCCATCATGTTCCATTATTGGAGTAAGATGACCCTGCTTTTTTGTGTAAGATGTTTTACTCTTACTGGAGCCCTTTAAAATATGCAAAACAATTGCAAATAAGCCTCACTTCATTGACAACCTGTTCATCAAATGTGTCAGTTTGTGCTTTTAAATAAATAACACTCCAGTACATACATTTAAGATATTACTATGAGGTTTAACTGCATTTTTTAATAAGAAAGGTATGTAACATTGCAGCTCATTGAGTGCATTGTACAGAGATGCAGTAACAGGCCATATTTGTGTGTGTGTGTGCACTTTCACTTTCATTGATCTATTGTACCTTACATAATTAGCACTCATTTCAGATAAATAATTTTACTGGCAAAATAAAATGTATGTGGAAGACCTCCCTAAATCCATGAATATTATGTATAATATAAGTTAAATTATATTTATTTATTTATTTATGAGTAATACACACACACACAGACACAAGCTATATGTAGTGATGTAAATAAATAAGTACATATACAACAATAAAACAAAACAAACATCTAACAGTGTAATCCGAGTGCACCAATATTATGATTCAGATTAATTATTCATATGCAAAGATGAGTTTACACAACGCACGAACAAAATGCTGTGTTTGCATAAGGCAGGGGTCAAATATTAGTAACACCCCGCACCTCTTACTTCGATAGACTTCGTAGATACGGGATCCTAATGGAGAGCGGATTTCGATGGGGGACTCGATTTGTCACCACAACGGCTCAGCTTTGATTCGCTGTTCCCTAGTAACGCGGTCCGCTGTAGTGATTGGCTGACTCGAGGGTCAAGGAAACGGGAAGAGCACAGGTTGCTTGTACTTGATTACTCTCTGGGGAGGGTGAGAGACACTGACGGAGCGCTGTACTACTGCGACTCTTTCAGAAACGCGTGGCATTTACCACAGGAGGGGCGCGCTGACATATCGCACGACTGATCGTCCATAAATGGGGTGCTTGTTCTCCAAAAAATCGAGGAGAAAATCTCCTAAAAAAGACTCTGCTTTGCCCGCTGGGGACGAGAGCGCTACGGGCAATGACCTCCCCGAAACCAACAACACTGCGCTGGGCAGCAACAGCAACCAGGAGGCTCCAAAGCAATACAGCTGGGACAAACGAGAAAAGGTACGACGCGGCAGTGGTTATAACCCGTTTTTGTGCACTAGACTAGCCTATACTACGCTGTATAATATGTTGCATAATTGCTTTAGGAATCATACAGAATTAACTCCAAACAGTTCGTCTGAAAAAGCTAACGTTAGTGTTATGTGCGTTAGCTCAACTCGCCTTGTTAACCCCATTTTTTGCAGTTCACAACATGCGTAATCACGCGAGCGATGGGTTTGGCCCCTCTTGTTCAGTGTTTCGGAGTGCTTTCCACTGGTGCTATCGATTGACCGTCGATACGAGACTCTCTCGGCGGTTATAGGGTTTCAAATGCTATGGTAAATTATAAACGGAGCTTAAAGTCAGGGCACGTAACTTGCTTGCCCAGATAACGCTGTGTTCAAGGTGTCGCCATCAACATGTATGACAGTGTATCAGATGGAGGAAGAGAGGGAGTAGTATGGGTGGGAGTGTCTGTCTGCCCCTCCGACCGCAAAACCAAGCTTTGATAGCATTTAAATGTCCGGAAGTATGAATCTATTATTGCCCTGGTCGATGCGTGCAAGTGCAGATTGAAAGGCAATGAATTCACGAGACAAGTCCAACTTTTTATCAGTTTTCTCTTATGGTCTGTCAATGGCAGTGTCTGATCTGATGGATTAGACGTTAGTGGTTCCCAAACCTGTCCTGGAGGACCCCCTGCCCTGCACTTTTTGTATGTCTCACTAATCAGACACACCCAATTTAGTTCGTGTAGTCTCTACTAACGAGCTGATGAGTGGAGTCAGGTGTGTTAGATAAAGGAGACATACAAAAGGGGCAGGGCAGGGGGGCCTCCAGGACAGGTTTGGGAACCACTGGACTAGTAGTTCTGAACCAGGGGTCAAGGCCCACTAGAGGGCCTCAGCAATCTTCCAGTTGGCTCCACAAGATACATTTTTATCTTGTATTTGAATAAAAAATTATCAAACTTGATAGCATTGTTTAGTTTGTGGTCCTAAAACCTGGCGGGGGATTAGCAGTTTTAAGCCATGGGTTAATTTGAGAGTTTTCTATCTGTTCTAGATTTAAGAATAAATTGAAGTCTGTGGTTAAATTTTGGCTTGAAGTGAAAATTCACCCTATATATTTTCTAAATGCATGCTATAGATTTGATTAGACTGGCAATCGATGCATAGAACCAAGCCCCTGCTTTGCTCTTTTTCTATAACCATTTACTCTCTGATAGACCGACATCACAATAGAGTAGAACGGATTTGTTTCTACTGCCATTTCATCACATTAACTTAAATTCTGTAAACTCTAGAGTTCTATTTAGTATGGGAGTTGCCAGGGTGTCGCTGTGTGATTTGTTAGGGTGTTTTAAGTGATTGTTAGGTGGAAACTTACTGGCCCAAGTCAAAAGAGATCTTAATTTCTATAATGGTCTGTCTCCAGATACAGCACAGGTGCCTCCTTCAGTTTAAATCTGTGTTGTCGTTGTTGTTTCCATTTTCTGTTTTATCATCCACCAGGACATCATCCAAAACAAGCTGCATGATTTGAGGTATCATTTGTGTCTCAATGCAAAATTAGTTTCCTGTTGAAGTGTAACCTTGTAAAGCCTGTCATATAAAATAATAGTCTGAAAAATATAAAAGGGAAATCTAAAAAAGGTTGCAGATGTGTTTTATGTTTTGTATCATATTTGATACATCAGGCTTTTAAGGCTTATATAATATAGTAAGAATACGGAGCTCAAGGAGAGGGAAAAAAACACATTTTTAGCAAAATTATACAATTGGGTGCAGATGTTTTTTTATGTGGCTAAAAAGTATGAAATTTTGATCGCTTGTAATGTAAATCAACAAGATTTTTATTACAAGATAACAGAATACAGAAATTATAAATATTAGTTGTCATTCTATTTCTCAATAATGTGTTAGTAAGATTATATTTAAATGCTTAGTTTTATGACCAAAGCTCTGTAGTTACAATGATGATTGTGAGATAAATAAACATTTGACAGAAGCCTTTTGTATCACATTTGATACTTACATTTTAACAAGTAAACATAAGTTGCTTCAGTCCCTTAAATGTTCATCTTGAAACATTAATAACAATATAAAAGTCATTCTCACAGCAAAATGACACGTACCACAATGAAGGTGGAGAATTTAAAGGGTTTGTTCACCCAAAAATGAAAATTAGCTTGTGTTTTACTTACCCTTGAAGCATCCTAGGTGTATATTACTTTCTTCTTTCAGACTAATCCAGTCGGAGTTATATTAAAAATTGTCCTGGCTATTCCAAGCTCTATCATTGCAGTCAGCGGGTGTTGCAGTTGAACAGTCCACAAGTGGTCAAATAAAGCTTACGCATTCATAATAAAACATGCCTCACAAGGCTCCGGGGGATGAATAAAGGCCCCCTGTAGCGAATCCATGAGTTTTTGTAAGAAAAATATCCATAGTTCAAATGTAATAAACACTTTTCTCTCACTTCCGCTGACTGTCATACACTGAAGCAGTTCCGGCGGATGACGAAAGACACACGGCGTTGCGTGATTAGTGACGAATGCGGAGAGAGAGAACAAAACGCCTCTTTTAGTAATCATCATAAATCATATATCATTTGAAAGCTTAGAAGCCCAAGATTCATCCTGTGAAAACCATTTTGAAATCGGACATTGCATTACCATGGAAATGGTACTTTAAAATCTTTTGGTGGTCTCCTCCCCCTTAGTGGGCGGTGTCAAGTGTCATATTACAAAATGCATTACGCTCTTTTACAATCAAAACTTTTTATAATCTTATTAATCTTATATAATTATTTTGAGATAGAAGTAAAATTGACAGAGAAATCTAGACATTTGTGACAGAAAAATGCATAAAAAATTTGGTGCCAAAGTTTGGATGGCACCAGGTGGCTGTTTGTGGTATAACGCCCTAAATAAAATCTCACTGGAACCTCAATTTTTTTCATATCAACTTCAAATTTGGAACATAACTTATTTAGACATAAGGCTTTAATTTTATAACAATTTTAGAGTAAAACCTGTTATGTCAAATATTTATTATATATAAAATTAATATAGTGCATTTTCTTTACAGTAAATTTAAACTACCATAACTTTTTGATACTTTACTTTTTTTTTTTAAT